CTTCGTCTGCGCCTTGAGCAGGTCTCGCACGCGTTCCACATTGGCTTCTGCCTCAACGAGCACACGGCTGTGCTTGCGGGACGAGGAGTGCTTAACTCGGGGCTGACGCGCTTTGGTGGTGTTGCCGTGGTCTGCTGGTTGTACACGCTTCTTCTGGGTATTGCCCGCCAGGCATACCTGTTGGCAAAGCACAGTCCCAGGGGTTCCTGCAAGGCCCTTTTACCGGAGGATGCGGAGAAGAAGGTTGTCCCGTACACGCACGAGGAATGCAAGCGCGCTGTGGTGAACCTGGTGAAGATGAGCTGCTTTGCCGTGTTTGCAAAGACGTGTCTGCCTGAGGGCAGGCCGAAGCTGCTGCAGGACGTGTGTGGTCCCTTGGTGCCCCTGCACGAGTTGATCAGGGCGATTGCCCCTAACAAGCTGCACCTGAGTGACACTGTGCGTGGTCTGTTGGCCGCCACCGCCTCATTGTGCGACTTCTATTAGGATCAACTCCAAGGCCTGTCAAAATTTTGACGGTCCGAGTAGTATATTTTTTTTTGTTTTTATTTCTTTTTTTGGGGTTTGACATGAGGGTGTTGAATGCAACAAGGGAATTGAAAAATGAGCAAAGTGGAAAGTTGGGAAATGGGGGTGACTCTCGTGCCCGGTGTGGAGCTGTTGTGGTTCTTAGAGGGTGTCCACTGAGGTTTGTGATCAGTTGGATTTTCCGCGAACTGCCCCACCATGCTTCCTCCCGGGAATCATAACGCAAGGGTTTGGAGATGCGGTTCGTGTGCAAGAAAACCTTTTATTTTGACTATGTGGGGGGGAGGCTCATTGCCTTGATTTTGATTTTTATTATTGTCATTGTTATTATTATTATTGTGCAAAGCGAAGAGATGGCGTAACCATGTATAGGCCAGTGTAGATAACGACCCTTATGTTTGTGTCGACAGTTTTCCTTGTTACCAATGAAGAAGGTGGACATGCCACATGAGGAATAAGCTCCTTAAAAGTGTGCGCGTTTGAATTGTTTCTGTGATATGTTGCTCTATGGCAGCCGATGTTTATGTTAATTTGTGCAGGTGTCGTGGGCTGGTCTTCTAATGAGGGAATTGGCGGCAATCTGCTTCTTGCCTTGTTTCTCTCTTTAATGATTTGCACCAGCAGGCGTGGCGGAAATGCTCGACAAATTGAGTCTGCTCCTCAGGGGAAAAGGTATGCTGATGATGATTTCCACCGCCCTTGCCGTTGCAGTTGCCGGCGTTCTGTGCTATCTGTGGGACGATGACAAATCAAGGTGCGCAAACAAAGAGAATATGTATACTAGCCGCTGTTGCGGGAAAGAGCAGGACGGGAAGCGCGGTGACGATCAGGGAGGTCATGGTCTCTGCTGTGTGTGTCATAACGCCACTGCCAGTGAACTTTTTCTTCCTTGCGGTCACCTGGTTTTCTGTTCGCCGTGCTGTGAGGAATACGTGAGGAGAAGAAATGACTCTTGCCCGATTTGCAGGCAAAAATACACTAGCCTCTTCCATGTTTTTACCAACTGAGCCAGTGCGAGGTGTTTCCGGGTGCCTTTTTTCCACGTTTTTTGTCTGTGCATTACGGATGCAACTGAATGACGGTGCCATACGTGTCTCTACTTGTAAGAGGGGGAAGAAGAACGCATTCCACAAGAGAGAGGGATAAGGAAAAAATGTTTTGGTGGAGTAGTGGAGCTCCGCACCTGACAACGCAAAAGAAGCGAAGATGTCAAAATAAAATGGGAAGGAGGGAGGGAACGGTGAAACCAAACCAGGGGGGACCAAAGAAATGTGGGAGACGAGGAAAATACACGATGAATACAATCGATGTTTTATTTCTCTCTCTTATATGTGTGTATATAGTGCACATAAGTATACATACGTACATGCGCACTGGCTGTTTGGTTGCATCCCACCCCTTTTTTATATTTTTTTTCTTTTTTTTTTCTTCTTTTTTTGAATCTGTGGCCTGCATCCAGATACCCCTACTTCTTTTTGTGTGTGTGTGTGGGACGTTGAGAAAGTGAAACAGCAAATGCTTGACAGCCATTGCCCTGCGCGTCTCTGAAAGGGAAGGAGGTGGGGGATCGTGCCGGCGGGTCAGCGGCGTGTTGTGTGGCACGGACGGGAATGTTCTCCGTCCATCTCGGCTTTCTTTGCTGTCATTATTATTACCTTGTCCTTTTTTTTGCGCTTGTAAACGTGCGAATCCAGGAAGAATGGGAGCGAGACTGTGGTCAAGAGGTTGCAGAATAATTAGATAGCGGGTGCACATCTGAGGGGAGAAGGGACGAGCATTGGCGGTCGGGGCGTGTGTTCGAATGGGGCTGTTTACTGGAGGACGGGGAGGCGGCGGCGGTGATGCCGTCGGTCGGGGGGCGGTGTCGTCTCTGCCCAATGTTGCCGACGCTCAGACCGTGGTTTTGAAGCAGACCAGGGGCGAAGGCCGCGAGGAGGGTGCGTTGTCCCCCTCGTTGATAGACCGCTCAAAAAGTCAGCAGCTTGTCATAAGGAAGGGTGATGCTCGTGTGGGTTTTTTTGATACCGATGCCGTTGATTGCATACTGAGACGCTACGAGAAGGAAATGACGGTTGCCGACCAGTTAATGAAGAAAAAGCAAAGGAAACAGCAGGAGCAGGGCCTCTTTCACCTCTACGATTACGAGGAAGATCGGCGTTATAGCCAGTGGCTTAAGGATCAGGAGCACGTGCGTGCAACCCTCAAAATCCATTGGCTGGACATGATCATAGACAAGCCGTTGCTTTGCTTGACGTACTTTGCTCGCGTGGGGACAACCGCAGGGCTCTTTCACGGAGCGGGGCGCTCGGTGTACCTGTATCGTACGATGGACAAAGTGTATATTAAGCTTCATGGTGTCAGCTTTGCTGGTATCGCCCTACATGAAGTCAGTCTGTCAGTCATAAAGGGTGCTCTTGTGGCAGCTGCTGGCACGGTGGGTGTTTTTGTGGGCGAGGCTGCGACAAGCATTGCGCGATCCGCTGCCACCGGAGACGTATCCGTGCCGGAGCGCACATGGGCCAATGTCTGGGTCTGTGGAACGTCTAGTGGGTTTTTTGCTGGAGGGGCGTTTGCTGCCCTTCACGCCTCAATCCTTACACCTTGGGGAATGGCGGTCGCCGTGACCGGTTTTACGGCGCTCAGCTCCCTTGCTGGACTTGCACTGGCCCGCATCGCGTATCATCCCTTTGCCTCCGCGCGTCAGGGCCGCACATACGACCCCTACTGGCATCCATGGTACACGAGAAGGGTGAATGACGGCGGTGGTACCTACATGCGTGGAAAATACATCTGATGCGATACGTCACATTCCTTTTTGTTTTTATTCTTGTGTCACGGTGCGTTGATTTCCCAAGGTGATGCACTGTCTTCTTAACCTAACGCTGACGATGCCTTTTCCGTTCATTTGCCACACAAACAGAGCAAATACAAATAAAAAGAGAAAAAGCAAAGAACAACTCCAACAATGTCTGCCTGTGCACATACGTACCTCTCCGACACTTGGAACCGCGACAAGGTCATGGCGATTGTGCAGTTTCTTCCAATGGCGCTGGAGGGCCCTGTCCGCAACGCCGGTTGTGACTCACTGGCCGAGTCTCTGGGCAATCTGTCAAAGATGGCGGATTCGTACCGTGCGGTCACCCGTTTGTCACTGCTGCTCAATGCGCTGTCATCCAAGACTTTGAAGGACCTGGCGAAGCCAAAGGGAGACGCCCTCGTCTGGCGCCTTGAGCAGGTCTCGCACGCGTTCCACATTGGCTTCTGCCTCAACGAGCACACGGCTGTGCTTGCGGGACGAGGAGTGCTTAACTCGGGGCTGACGCGCTTTGGTGGTGTTGCCGTGGTCTGCTGGTTGTACACGCTTCTTCTGGGTATTGCCCGCCAGGCATACCTGTTGGCAAAGCACAGTCCCAGGGGTTCCTGCAAGGCCCTTTTACCGGAGGATGCGGAGAAGAAGGTTGTCCCGTACACGCACGAGGAGTGCAAGCGCGCTGTGGTGAACCTGGTGAAGATGAGCTGCTTTGCCGTGTTTGCAATGACGTGTCTGCCTGAGGGCAGGCCGAAGCTGCTGCAGGACGTGTGTGGTCCCTTGGTGCCCCTGCACGAGTTGATCAGGGCGATTGCCCCTAACAAGCTGCACCTGAGTGACACTGTGCGTGGTCTGTTGGCCGCCACCGCCTCATTGTGCGACTTCTATTAGGATTCTGTTTTTTTTTTTTTGTTTTGTATTAAGAGAGAGTGACAAGTAAGGATTTGTGGGAAACCGAAATTTTATGTTTGATTTTTATCTAATGTTTTTTTTTGTTGTTGTTGTTGAGATGGTGATGCTTTTTTTTACTGTTTTTTTTTTTTTTTGTGTGTGTGTGTGTGCTTTAGGTAATGTTGTTTTTAGTGGAGATTTTGAGAAGAAGCAATTTTTTTGGTTGGACGTCATTGCGGAGGAATTTTTTTTTTTTTCTTTGAAGACGTGTGGGTTTGGTGAGAGGTGGAGTTTTATGCATATGTATGCGTTCGTGCTTCTTTCAAAATGGATGAAGGCATTTAATACGGACTGTCGTTCTTTTTATTATTATCGGCAGGATGTTTTTGTTTATTTTTGTGGCTGTGCATACTTGTGTGAGCAGGGCATGTGTGTTTACTCCATCCTTTTTTCTTTTACATGTTTGTTTTTCATATAAGCTGTTATTAAGTAACTTTTATCTCTTTTTCTTTTTTTTTCTTTTTTTTTTTTTGGTTATTGTTCCCTTCTTAATTTTATTTCCTTCTTGTTTTTGTTTTTCTGCTATTCCTTTGCATGTGTGTGTTCTGTGCTGGCGCATCTGTTGCTGTTTTTTTTTTTTTTATTGGCCCATGCTTTTTGCGTTTTTTTTTTTTTTTACCCCGTGCTTCTCTGTGTATGTGTCGATGAGGAGCAAAAGCCATGAATCCTGCGTTACCCCACTCGTATCTTTCAATTGCATGGCGCCGCGACAGGGTTACAGCAGTTCTTCAGTTCTGTAGCATGGTGGTGAGCGGAGTGGCGGGGTCGGTGGGACAAAGGTCCATTGAACGTTCTGCGAAGTCGCTTGCGAGGTTGCTGTCGGAGTACGGTTCTGTGACCCGAGTGTGCAACTGGCTTGTGGTTCTCTTAGAGCTTTCACCGGCAGGTGTGCGCCGAACGATGCGAGCATCACCGGGTTTTTTTACCGGCATCGCACGAATCGTAACAACGATTTTCTTGGGACTGTTCTTGGCGAGTGAAGAGGTGGAGCTGTTAGCTGCTGGCGGCGTGTTGAGTAAAGTGTGGCGTCCGCATGCTGCCCGGATGGTTCCCATATTTTTTTTTTACTACAACTTGTTAAAGGCGGGAACAAGTGCTGCACTTCTCCAGGCGATGCAGCGCATTTCATTTGAGGCCACAGACACTCAGAGTGTCATTCGCAAGCGGCATTACAAGGAGCTGTTTCTTTCCTTTATGGAGGGCATTGCGTTTATGGTGTACGCCATGACACTCCTGCCAAGCAATGCACCGCGGCTTAGGGAGGCACTTAACGAAGGTCTCTGGATGGACCGTGTGTACTCTGTGTTTTCATCACTGTGCCCGCAGGCAGTTCAGGTGCGTCCGGCCACTCAAGGACTCCTTGGGCTTCTTGCAACAGCCCCCTTTCTACTTTTATCGTCTTGATGCTATTGACTCGTTTTAGCCTCTTGCTAAGAAGGGAGAGGATATGTATGTGTGTGTGTGCCGCATGTGCGGCCTGGTGGATTTAGGGCGGACCCGAGAAAGGACAGGAATTTAAAAGTAACGGCGGGCGACAGGAACAGGAAGAGACAACAGCTTCTTGTACCGCGGAATTCCAGAATTAAAAGTAATTGGAAGGTGTGGATGAGATTAAACAATTTTGCTGTGTTTTTTTTCTCGTTATTATTTTGTCACCCCTTCCCGTCCGAGCTGCGTGTTTCTGAGAGATGAATTCGCCAGAGCGGGGAATTCTTTTGAGGCAATTTTTTGAGGGTTGTGTCTTTTTGTTTGCGGCGGCTTGCCACCCTTTTGTTGTTATTGTTTTTGTCCGCTGAGGCACTGCGAAGACGCCCAAGAGAGCCAAGAGTAGGGAGGAAGCGAGGAGGAATGCGCAGCTTTGATCATCAGGACAAATCAACTTTTTTGTCCGGCCGGAGGAAGAAACCTCTCCGTCCCATCATTTCACCCTCAATTATGGTGGCAGACCCAACACAACTTCTGTTGGAAGCCCTGCACGTGTTGTCTCCCGAGGGCGGTGCTGT